TTAATGCATCCGCCATATAGTCCGGACTTGGCACCAAGCGAATATCACCTTTTTCCTACATTGCAAAATTACTTTAAAGATAAAAAATTGCTATCTAGGTAGGGTTGTGGAAATCGATCACTAGAGTTTTTTTTTTTCAAATAGAGAGCATGACTTCTATGAGATAGGCATTATGAAGTTACATTTGTATGGCAACAAATCATACAACAAAGCGGTACATATTTGGTCCAAATCGGACATTCCGAAGTTCTATAGTTCTTCCTCCCCATTTGTGATCTTCTAATGTGTTAAAAGCAATTTCCCACCGAAGTGACTGTTATTAAAAAAATAGTTTGCCGAATATTTTCAATTAAGGTCCTTCTTATGCCATAACCCAAATATAAAGCAGGACGTGGCATATATCCGCTTCATGATGTTTATACCGCTTGAACAAGCTACTGACATATAAGACAATAAAAAGTTCGGCGCGCCAGAACATAACGACGTGTTGACTTGTTCCAAGACATTTTGGAAAATGTTGGGCGCCACAAATATCCTCTTTGGTAATAAAAATAAGTCATTGGTTTCCATGATTGTCTACCACTTAAAATTGACAGGCTTTTGTTGTCCTCAGGCCGCATTGTCTTCCCTTAACCCGTTTTGCTAAAGAATCAGGCGACCATTATATTTGTCTTCGAAGACTTATACGGCTGATTATTGTCTTGTTTCGAATTAAGCCGCATAGATCCTCTGTGACGATCTTAGAATGTCTTTATACCAGTAAACATGAATCTTTTCATAACAAATACGACAAACCGTACTGAGTGTGGTTATGAAAAAAAGTCTAATCATCTGTAATATAGAAAACGTTACAAACTTTGTAGTAAAAAGTTGATAGGTCTTCATGAAGCCATAACCTTCCTATAATCAATATTGATGAAGAGCATCAATCTCACCATTTATTTTGTCCATTGTTGTCTCCCCCTAGTTTTCCATATTCCTTTATACAGAAGATTATTTTTTTTTTTTGCAATTATCTTCAAATATTATTTGTTTCTTCCAATATTTTCTTTCTCCATGTTCATACATGTTGGATAAAACAAACAATTATCCCCTCTATTTGGCAGAAGGCTCTTAATATGCCAAATAAACATGGAAGAGAGTGACCGGCAAACTGTCTCTCACTTTTGTTGATATACACATTTAACAAGAGCTCCCTCTCTTTGATAAAGTATTCAATTGAACAGTCAGGCAGTCAGTCAGTTGTGAGTGAAATATCTTCAGGAACTGTTGGACAATTTGCCGTAACATATTTCAGACACACAAACAAGTAAGTCCGAACACATTTTATGGAAAGTTTTTTGTTGTTTTTTTTTTAGTTCTTATCAATAGTTTACTACATTACGCACTCTTGATAATCAGTAATTACCAAAACGAATTACAATCATTATTTTTCGTTATAACCAATGTAAACAAAATCAGTAAACTCTAAAAAGAAGAAGAAAACAACGTTGAAAGATAGGATAGTTTTTTAGATTACAATATCTATACATACGCTATCAAAGTAAAATGCTATTGATTTCCTATGGATTATAGATTCATGCCCAATGAATTAGAATTCTATAACCATTTATTCGGGAATTCGATTTTGACATTTTTAATGAAGACCCCAAGTGGGAAGTTTATATTTAAATAAAAAAATAATAGAAAACAAAATATATTTTCATATCTTATCAATTCATGATAACATTTACACATATTAACATAAAATCGCAATGACTTTGCAATATAAGAATTTTTTGATAATGTATTTAAATTGAATTTCAGTTTTTAAAATTATTATTCTAATCAATCAAAAACGTTTTTTGTATATCCTTCATCATGAGGCGGAAATTTAAATACCTGTAAGTTTTTGGTAGGAAAAGAACTAAATTTGAGCCAGTTCGTTAAAAAATGCTGGGGATGCCTTTATATGAGGGCTATCCCAAAAGTCAATGTTGACAATTTTGCTTGGAAGATTTTGCTATCCAATTTGAATTGAAAATTCTAAATTTCGTTGAAGGACATTATATGGGGGCTATACCGTTATGTGGGGGCTATACCAAATAGTGGAGCGATATATCCAATTTTATTGTAATCTCTGTAGTGATTTTAACAGACTAAATTCACATACAATTTTATTCTGATCAAGAATGTGTACACTCTATGGAATGTCCAATGAATTGTTCAAGGATCGCTGCAAACGGAATTTAGTATACACTCCACCTAGGGTATACAAATTATATTAACACCAGTAAGGAAAGTATTAAAGTCGGATGATACCCTTTATCACTTTGGCTATATTCAAGGGATGCATCCTAACAGACCTCGCATTTTTTGAAGGACCATTGACATGAACTTTGAAATTTAACTAAATTAAATATATGATCTGTGTATATATGTAAACCGACTTAACCCTCGGACATATATATATATATATATCAAAGTGTGGTAAAGGTTTTTATACCCTTTGTGTTTCATATCATATGATCATGGTGGCCAATATCACAACCCTTCAAAATATAACATGGTTCTGAAACTCTTCCTTTAAAATAAAAATATTGGAATTTTCTTTGGGTCTCAGATGCTACAATTTTTATGCTTCTAGCTTAACCCTGCACTTTTTATAACCTACACAACTATGTTGTCAGGGTAAAAAGTTATAATACCCTGACAACATAGTTGTGTAGGGTATAAAAGTGCGGTCCAAAAGCTTACAACGCCGCGACATATCGTTCCCAGACCCACCTTTAAGTATACCGATCGTCAGTCCGTTCGTGTGTCCATTATAATTTATAAACACATTACAGACCACAGTTATGGACCAATTCTTCACGATATTGGTCAAATAGGGCCGGTTCTGACCAAAGAAGACCCTATTGTTTTTGTTAACGGTTCGTTTAGGGATGAAATGGACCAACAACATTATTTCTGTCTGTTTTTCTGGACCAAAATTATGACCCGAACACCACGAAATTTTACATCAAGGAGGGAATGTGGTCAAAGACATGACAATTTGTTGAAGATCGGTCAATATTTTGCGGGTCAAATGAACCCAGACTTTTCTGTGGAAAATTACAAAATTTGTATTCTATGACGTATCTAAGGATGTGGGAGTAGTTTTTTTTTCTATATTTTAACCCACCCACGAGTCCTGAATGCCAAATTACAATCACTTTGTTGCAAGAATGAGGCAAGAACTTAAAAAAATAACAAAAAACCGGCGAATCCCTTATATTATGTCTATTTCAGAACATGGACCCTTATAGAAAATTTTCGTCAAATATGGTATTCACCCTCCCAGCAACCGAAGTGTAAAATTACAGCCACACCGGTGGGAAATTGTGGCCAAGACCTTTAAAGCGACTAAATACTATAAATAACCGAAAATTGGGCGAGACCTTCAAATCAAGGCTATTTCATAACATTATCCTATATAGCAAATATTCTTCAAATATATTGTTCACCCTCCAAAACCTTCCAAGGAATTTCACTTTAATCTGGGACCTATTGATCATTTTCTGCACATACATATACCTGAAAATCCTAGAACTTACTTTTGAAGGTTTCAGCCGCATTGGTGTAATACCAAAAATAGGGTACCTTTATATGGGGTCTATGTTACAAAAAATACGTAAAATGAGAGGGACCTCAATATGAAGGCGAATAATCCTCAATTGATAATTATCCCCATAAATGTGCGTCAGCCCCCAAAAACGGTATGCCAAATTACAGCTTCTTATGTTGGGTAAAGCGGCAAAGTTTTACAATACCGAATATTGGTCTGTATATATATATATGGTATAGCAATTTTTTTTATCATAAATAGTCGTTTTTTATTATAAGGTTTGAAATATATACAGAAGCCCTCGTATATACAGGGTGAGATAAAAAAACTGCAACAAAGTCAAGCGCCATAATTTTTACACTTTTTTTAAATTTTATTGAATGAAAGCAAAAATGTCGGAAATAGCGTCAAATTTTAGAATAAGTTTAGATTTGTTCGAATTGGTCACCTTTGGCGCGAATTATGGCCTTCAAACAGTCAACGAAACCATCACACGATGCCCGATTGTTGCTCTGCGGTATTATGGCCCATTCCCGGCGAAGCGCTTGCTTGAGGTGATCGATACTTTGTTATTTTTTAGTCCAACGGATTGGTATCAGGAGATGTTGGAGGTCACTGTGCGCTGGAAATCAAGCGAGGAACCTCATTTTGTAACCATTCTTGGGTGGCGCATCGACCATGGCACTCAGGATGGTCCTGTTGGAATGTCCAAAGCCTGCGGCCGAAATGTTTGCGTGCCCGAAGCTTTAATACACCCTCCAGAATATTTTTGCTATAATATTAAGCATTTATTCTTATGATATTCGATTAATACGAGCGAAGAGCTACCATCGGCTGTTATGGCGGCCCACACCATGGACGGCGCTTGAGTTTTGGTGGCCAACCGAAGGTTCACATTTTCATCTGACCTCTTTGGCAAGTAAACACGATCATTTAGTTTGGACAACGAATGTTTTCTCGTGGAAGAAAACCAAACCAAAACCACTTTCGGCCATGCTCTTTAGCTCTTTTCAGTCTATTTTCTTTCTGTTCCATCACGAATAACTTTTTTTCTGGAAAATTCTTACCAAAATGCGTTTGTACGCTTGTAAACAATATAATAAGCTGTCACTGGAAAAATTTTAACAGTTTTCGGACGAGTGGCTTAAAAATGACAGCAGTCTGAAGTTGGTTGCAGTTTTTTCATCTCACCCTGTATTTTATCTACATCCAAAAAATTATTATTCAAAATTCCCCGATTTATGACAAATGACATCATTTCGATTTGCAATCTCATAACAGCTAATTTTGGTTGACAAAAAAAAATTTAATAGTAAATAATAGCCGATAATTGATTTCAAACAAATATACACACAAACAAAAAAGAAGATTCTAATATTAAATTTTAATAATTTTTGTTGTCCCCTTTTCAGCTATGGATTTCTATTATTACCCCATTTCGTCGCCCTGTCGTGCTGTGCTAATGACAGCCAAAGCTGTGGGTGTTGAATTGAATAAGAAATTAATGAGCGTCTTTAAAGGTGAAAATTTAACACCCGAATTTTTGAAAATCAATCCCCAACACACCATCCCGACGCTAGTGGATAATGGCTTCGCTTTGTGGGAATCACGTGCCATTATGATCTATTTGGTTGAGAAATATGGCAAGCAGGATGATCCCTTGTATCCCAGCTGCCCTAAGAAACGTGCTCTGATCAATCAACGTTTGTATTTCGATTGTGGAACTTTCTATAAAGCATATTCCGATTATTTTTATCCACAAATGAAACAAAATAAACCAGCTGATCCGGAGCAGTATAAGAAAATCGAGGCGGCTTTGGAAATGTTCAATACATTTTTATCGAATTCGAAATATGCTGCTGGCGATAATCTGACATTGGCTGATTTGGCACTATTGGCTTCGGTCAGTACCATGGATGTTTATGATATTGATGTTAATAAATATGAAAATGTCGCCCGTTGGTATGCTTTGGTTAAGGAGACTGCACCTGGTGCCGATGAAAATTGGGCTGGCTGTTTGGAGAGGAAGGAATTCTTTAAAAATATGAAGAAATAAATGGATTTTTTAAAGATTTTGTGGAAAAAAAATTGAAAAAGACGTAATAAATACCAACTGAAGTATTAATTGAAAGAAAGGTGTGTTTTATTTCTTATACAGGTTCTAGATCCAAATTATACCCGCCACCATGAGGTGGAGTACAGAAAATGATCACCATAGGCCTATGTTTGACAAAGTACTCTTACAAGGGTTCCGCCCAGACTTTTTAAATAATTTTTTCATGGCTCCCAATAAGGCGTAGATTTTTTAAAGAATTTTTTCATGGCTCCCAATAAAGCGTAGATTTTTTAAAGAATTTTTCATGGCTCCCAATAAAGCGTAGATTTTTTAAAGAATTTTTTCATGGCTCCCAATAAGGCGTAGATTTTTTAAAGAATTTTTTCATGGCTCCCAATAAGGCGTAGATTTTTTAAAGAATTTTTTCATGGCTCCCAATAAGGCGTAGATTTTTTAAAGAATTTTTTCATGGCTCCCAATAAGGCGTAGATTTTTTAAAGAATTTTTTCATGGCTCCCAATAAGGCGTAGATTTTTTAAAGAATTTTTTCATGGCTCCCAATAAGGCGTAGATTTTTTAAAGAATTTTTTCATGGCTCCCAATAAGGCGTAGATTTTTTAAAGAATTTTTTCATGGCTCCCAATAAGGCGTAGATTTTTTAAAGAATTTTTTCATGGCTCCCAATAAGGCGTAGATTTTTTAAAGAATTTTTTCATGGCTCCCAATAAGGCGTAGATTTTTTAAAGAATTTTTTCATGGCTCCCAATAAGGCGTAGATTTTTTAAAGAATTTTTTCATGGCTCCCAATAAGGCGTAGATTTTTTAAAGAATTTTTTCATGGCTCCCAAAAAGGCGTAGATTTTTTAAAGAATTTTTTCATGGCTCCCAATAAGAAACCCATTAATTCCGCAAATTTTGCAATTTCGTCCACTGTGCACGGTGACAGCTATACAAACATCATTAGCATATTAAATAATTTATTGTTGCTTTGTGTTGATTTTTCTTTTGCATTAAATTAACAAACAATATATGTTGGGAGAATAGTTTCACACCTCTTCCTCTATATACCTGAAAAAAAACTATTCTCTCGAAGGCTCTCTCTTCGCTGCTAATAAATAACACGGAATTAAGATATTTAGTTTTCAACAGCTATCACTATATTCTATGTATTCAGGCATACCGTGCAAACAGTTGGCCATCAAATATCATACCGAGCAGATCGGCATATTTCCCGCACTAGTTGAACCTCACAAAAAGTAAGTTTTCAAAAAATAGTTTTATGATTCTGAATTTTTATCGGCAATTACTTTTCTAAAAAAATAATTTTTAATATTTGTTCTTTCTTATCATTTCTTCACAGCCATGGATTTCTATTATCTCCCCTTATCGGCGCCCTGCCGTTCAGTGCTAATGACAGCCAAAGCTTTGGGCATTGAATTGAACAAGAAAACACTTAACCTCTTCGAGGGTGAACATTTGAAACCAGAATTTTTGAAAATCAATCCCCAACACACCATTCCCACGCTGGTCGATAATGGTTTTTCCCTTTGGGAATCACGTGCCATTATGGTCTATTTGGTTGAGAAATATGGCAAGCAGGATGATCCTTTGTACCCTAGCTGTCCCAAGAAACGTGCCGTTATAAATCAACGTCTATACTTCGATATTGGTACACTGTATCAACGTTTCGCCAACTATTTCTATCCACAATTCAAAGAGAAGAAACCTGCCGATCCTGAGCAATTGAAAAAATTGGAAGAGGCATTCGAATTCCTCAATACATTCCTGTCGGAATCGAAATATGCTGCCGGTGATAATCTCACATTGGCCGATTTGGCTTTGTTAGCCTCGGTCAGTACTTTCGAAGCTGTGAATGTTGATTTCAGTAAATATGAACATCTGATGAAATGGTATGCTTTGGTTAAGGAGACAGCACCGGGTGCTGATGAAAATTGGACTGGTGCCTTGGAGATGAAGACCCTGATACCCAAATAAATTATTTTGTGTAAATATTTGTTTTTATTTAAGAAAATAAAATTATTTATTGGGAAATGTTGTGTGGTTTGGAGATTTTTTGTGGATATGCGAGGTAGGTTTCCAGATGCTTCAAAATTCATTCTTCGGAAAACCATGGATTTTTTTTTAAATATGTTTTTAAAGGATCATTACAAGCGTGGATTTTTTAAAGAATATTTCTTCAAGGATCACAAGTGGCGAGTATTTATACCCTTCACCACACTGTGGTAGAGGGTATTATGTCTTTGTGCATATGTTTGTAACAGGCCTTTTGAGAATATGCATAGAATCACTTTCTGAGTTGATTTATGCATTCCGTCCGTCTGCAGATGTTAAATTGTAAACAAAGTACAGGTCGCATTTATGATCCGATTTGGATGAAATTTGGCACAAGTCACTTATTTGGCCCAAGGACGAACCCTATTTAAATTGGGAAAAATCGGTTCAGATTTAGATATAGGTCCCATATATAGTTTCGTCCGATTTAAGGTAAATGGGACACAAAAGTCCCTCTATATCTTTCGATTTGCATGAAATTTGGCATAGAGTACTGAATTAAGTCTAAGTATACCGATCGTCATATCTCGACTACCTGAGTCGATCTAGACATGTGTGTCCGTCCGTCTGCCCATTATAATTTGTAAACACGATACTTGCCACAGTTATGGACCAATCACCACGAAATTTTGCATGTAGGATGGGTTCTGCCCAATGAAGACCCCCACTGTTGTTAAAGATCTGTTAATATTTAGGGGATGAAATGGACTAAATACTTAATTTTTGTCGGTTTTCCTGTCGTTCCAGAGGCCGCAATTATGGGCCAAACAATAAGCATGGAAGTTTTGATAAAGATCGGTCAATATTCTTTAGCGTATATATTTACATCTGAAGGACATAGACCCGAGATGTTGATAGTATATCCAAGAGTAGTGGTTGGCCTTTAAATTGGTACCAATTATATTATCGTATGTACTCAGATTTAAATATTTACAGGTGCTTACGTTTTCAAATATTATTTAGTAAACCATTGCCACGATGGAGGTCGGAAATATAGCGCTGATCGCTTTGAAATGCTCCATGAGGTTCCAGTTATGGTCAAGGACAACGCCAATAATTTTCGGTAATGATCATATAATGATTTTGGGATGAAGTAGATTGAAAACTTATTTTTTGTTTTTTTTTTTCGATTCGATCACAACATCGCAACAAAACCCACGGTGAAGGGAATCGGCACAAGTAATTAGAAGGGCTGTACTGAATATTAGTTATACTTGTTAACCTCTAGACGGTCAAGAGGGTGCAAATATTGCCCAAACTCAGAATATAGAACCACAGAAAGTTATATTTTCGTGGAAGGTGGGGTATCGGCCCGTCCGACTATACTGCTCCGCTCACTAGTTTAAAAATGATTTGTTCAAGGACCATAAGAGGCGTGGATTTTTTAAAATTTATTTTTTGAAAGACCACAAGAGGTGTGTTTTTTTTTTGTTTTTTTGACAATTTTGGAATAAAAGAATACAAATGGTATCCCAAATAACCCGCCAACAATACTGAAAAAATATATCAAAGGCCACTAGATCAATTTTGATTAATTCAACTAATGTAATGTTGGGATAGGATCGACTTAAGTAATAACGAGCCTTGGGGTTTGGTGTTACAATCGAACACACTTTCAACAAAACTTAACTAATTTGGCTTATGTTCGTCTTCCCCAAAGCTTTAGTAAACATTGCTAGAATTTTAATATTATTTATAAATACAACATCTCCCAAAGTAAGAAAAACCAAATAATTCCATTCTGCATATGGAAGTTATTTCACAAATATTTAAAAAAAATTTAATTTTTTGCCAAATCATTGTCATTATTGTTTTTTATGCTGCTGATAAACTGCCGCTGTAACATTAGATGAAAACAAGTTGTTGTTGCCCATACACAGTTTGTGTATGGACGGAGACAACTCATCCACATTCTGTGTATTAATAATAAAAACGACAGAGGGGAAAAAATATAGAAATTGCAATAAACCAAAAAAGAAGGTTCTCGTTGCTCTCTGCTATCTGCCGGTCTTGATAGGGAGAGAGAGAGCCCATGGAATGAGCAAACAAACAACCCAAAAATATTCCGTTCAATTATTGAGCAGCTGTGGTTGTAGATTTTTTTGCGACAACTAGAGTTTTTTTATTGAAATTGTTGTTGGAATCCAACATTTATGTATGTATATTATTGTTTAATATATAAAGGGGCTCGTGTGAATGTTAATTAGGGTGTAAAGAAATTTTGAAAAAATGAAATCTTATAAAGAAAAAAATGGTAGTTATATAGGTAAAGGCAAAAATCGGTTATTAAAGGGCTAAAAAAATTTGCACGTATGCTTTTCGAAAAAACGAAATAATAAAATACAAGTAAAAAAGTGTCAGATGTTTATGACGACAGATATATACCCTCAAATATTATTTCTTGGTTCAAGTTTTGAACTAGCTCCCTCATTTAGGTCTCACAACATTTTCGATATTCTGAAGAATTTAGTGCCGAAGTGAGAATATCCTAATTTCATACACGTTTTGATCATCGTAATATTTTTATCTAGCCTAGATAGTCTCAAAAATGGGGCACATCGTCCCACTCCTTCTGCTACCTTCCTCACAGAGGGTATTTTTTTTTAATATTTGTTAATCCAATAACAATCGTATGAAATGTCCGATTTAATCCAAATACATCGGAAAAATGTCTTTCAAACTTAAACGAACCACTCCTCGTGGCACCTCCCCCACAAACGGCCAATATTTTGAAATTTGTTTAATATGGAAATCCGATTTGATCCAATCTGTGCATATTGGAAAAAATTCTTTCCAACTTATATCAAGTTCGAAGGTGGGATCCGCTGGTCCTCTCCTTCTGGTAACTCCGACACAAAATGGCCAACCGATTTAAATGTTTGGACATCATAATATCTTACTGAACCTACATTAAATTTGAAGATGTG